TCAAAAACTAGTTCATAGAGTAAAATGTCTTATTTACTTCTGGAATTTATATCTACCATCTAGTTATAATATTATTACTCGTTATAAATTTGACCGTTACCGGATTATCGTCCGATGTGTCTTGGAATAGTTGGATTGCAACCGGCAACAACGTTAAATCCTTGTTAACGAAAAACAGGGCTATGGGACTACACACCTATAAAAGTGAAAGCACATGTGATATAACATTATGTTTGGTTATCAAATAGGCCTAATTTTGGTTTGTCTATGGTATATGTACGGTAGGCTATATTTATTTTAATAACAGAACAGAGTATATTAAACAAACAAGAAGACTTTCCCCCACAACCACCACGGAGTACAGTTGAATAGCAGCTTGGAAGCTAAAGATCTTTGTCTCCCAATCCAATAATCCTGGCTTCAAACTCTGTCCAAATAGGATTTCTTTTCAAGACTACTACAAAAACACCTTGATAAAGACTTAGGCCTATAGTCGAAATTTTTACTTTTCAAATAAGTATATATGACTATTGAAGTTAAAATAATGCTATAAAATTTGTTATTACCGTATTAGTTTCGACCGTGCACTTAATATTCTTCATTAATTTAAGATCTACAATGAACAACCGTTTCTTTTCAATAGCGTCATCAATCGTCATTTCTTCGAGTAACGGTTGGAGCATTTCGTTGGTTACAGCAAAGCTAAAGCAATATAATTCATATTTCAAATATGTCAAAATGTCAAAAAAATCAATATAAAACGAAATGACAAAAAACATTTTTCTTTGCAAATTAACAGAAAAAAAGATTCTTTGCATACTTTTCTGGAATTTCTGTGCACAGTCGTATTATACCCGGATTACAACCCGTCAATCGCTGCTTCCCGAATTCAACGTCTGATCTCCAGTGGTACATTCCCTATAAACAAACTCATCATATTAACATATTATATAAAGAGGTATTAATAGGCAATGCAAACTAATGCTAACTTAACAAGTTAACCAAGGATGGGATTTAAAATTTAAATTCAATAGGGGCGGAGCAGACTGGAATTCCATTCCAGGTCCAGGTTTGAAAATAATTAATATGCATAATAATAATGGTAATGAAACTAATAATATTAATACTGTAGCAAAATCTTGTGAATGAAGAAGTAAAATGATGCAATATAACTTTTTCAATATCTGGGTACTTAAATTTATTTGTTTTAATAATATTCCTTTTTTTTAAAAATGTAATTAATAATAATTGATATTTCAGTATGTAAATATGAGAATGATAATTTTAAATGTTGATTATTAGTGATTTTATCGATAGTGTACATATAGGCTAATTTTCAATAATCTAATCACTGTTTTTATTAAAATAAAATAATATAATTTAATGGTATATATAATATAGTTTTTTTCATTTTTCTTTGCCTGTATTTATATGCGCAAATCCAACGATTTCAGCCTGCAGGCTGCATGGTGTATACCTTTTTGCATTTTAATAAATAAATAAATAAATAAATAAAATAAATTAATATCTGTTCATGAAATAATCTTCAAAAAATCATCTTGTAGAAGTCCACGTGGATTAAATTAATAGAAATGACCTCAATAAGCTGAGGCCAGCTACATAAACATTAAATATAATGGCCTCGGTAAGATAAATAGAAAAAAATAGTTTTATTAAAATGAATCTTTTATAGATTAAAAACTGTCTTAGACATGAGTGTAATAGGTTTTATCTTGAAAATATTGTTACAAATTGTACAATTGTGGTAAGTCATTATTTACATTACGATGTCAACGGAAAACATGATGGTAGTAATGCAGGTAAGAATGGCCCCGGTTAAAATGGCCCTGGTAACGATGGCCCTGGAAATAATTTCCCTGGTAAAAGTGGCCCCAAATGACAGGTAGGTAAAAATAGCCCCCAATAATAAATGTATCAAAACTAATTTTAAAATATCATTATAGGCATTTTGTTTTGAACTGAAGTTTTTAAAAAGAATCTAAATTCAAATAAATTGCCATTTATATTTTACTTTTTGCAGGAATTACATATTCATAGATATAAAAAAATATGCCATGAATAACATTTTTTTTCAATTTAAATGTTAAAAAATAGCAACAATTTAATCAATAAATTAACATAAATCATGCATTTTTTAATACTAAAACAATTTAGTTATGGCCAATTTTACGTAAGCGGAATCACAATTTTCCATAGATTTTTAACTTCAAAAAATAAATTAAATAAAAACCTTTATTAAAAGAATGATATCAGTCTATGCCTACCTAAATATATAAACAAATACTTACTAAAGGCACGGGAAATGCATTGCTAAATCTATAAACATATACTTATTAAAGGCACGGGGAATGTATTGCTAAATCTATAAACATATACTTACTAAAGGCACGGGAAATGTATTGCTTTCGTAGACGTTCCCAAGATCATCGATGCTCTCCCAACCTGATGTTGTAAGTTCAATAATCTTTCCGCTAGTAACGTTTTTGAATAGGATATTCATGAATTCCCACTAAAAAAATAATGACAAACAATAACTATTATTGAATAACCAATAATAATAATTCAGATATTCTCTGTTGACGAATATCATTTACCACATTGAAGGGCTTCCGAAGAAGGGACCTCTGAGGAACTGCAGCAACTGGCGGGGCATTACATTGCTGTCTATACCGAGCAAGATCCTGGCAAAAACCATCATCCACTGGCGGGGCATTACATTGCTGTCTATACCGGGCAAGATCCTGGCAAAAACCATCATCCAAAGAATGACAGATGCTATTTATAAACAATTAAGACCAAATCAAGCTGGCTTCCGGAAGGGAAGGGTATGTATTGATCAGATATTCGCTTTACGAAACATCATTGAACAGTGTACTGAATGCCAACGAAAACTATATGTCAACTTTATCGACTTTGAAAAGGCTTTCGACAGTATTCATAGAGACAGTCTTTGGGATATCCGCCGAAACTATGGAATTCCACAAAAATTGGTACTTATCATTTTTAAGTTTCTATGATAATTACACATGCAGGGTTGGACACAGTGAATACAAATTCAAAGTAAAGACAGGGGTTAGACAAGGATGTGTGATGTCGGCACTTCTGTTTAACATTACCATTGATTGGGTTATGTGTCATGCAACAGCTAGACAGACAAGAGGCATCAGGTGGATTTTCTTCTCAACACTTGAAGATTTAGACTTTGCTGATGACCTAGCTCTATTTTCTCATTGTCACGACTATCTACAAGAGAAAACGTCTCAGCTCAATGAGGTCGCCAAACAGATAGGTATGAAGATAAATAAGAAAAAGACACAAGTTATGTATCTCAATGTCCCTCAAGACACAACTGGATGGAGAAGATCTTCCAAGTACTGATGAATTTGTTTACTTAAGAAGCAAAGTCACAAACAATGGGGGAGCTGGGAAAGACATTAAGAACAGGCTAAAAAAAGCCAGAAATGTTTTCAGCATGTTGAACAATGTGTGGAAGTTTCAGCAATACAGCATCAAGACCAAGCTGAAATTATACCAAAGCTGCGTTCTCTTTACACTATTATATGGTTCAGAGTGCTGGCGGATGACAAAGGTAGACATACATAACCTCTCTGTTTTTCATACAAAGAGCCTTAGAAGGATACATCGCATCTTCTGGCCAAACACCATATCTAACGAGGAACTATTAGATCGATGCAAAATGGATAACATGGAAACTATTCTACTGAGGAAACGATGGAGATGGATTGGCCATATACTTAAAAAAGAATCAGATTACATCACACGCACAGCTCTATTCTGGACTCCAGAAGGAAAGAGAAAGAGAAGAAGGCCGAAGAATACATAGAGACGGACTGCGGAGACAGAACTGAGGAGTCTGGGGCACACATGGGGTACCATATAACGGTTGGCTCAGAACAGATCTGAGTGGAAGGACTTCGTTGTTGCCCTACATGCCAGAGGCATAACAGGCAAATAATAATTTTAAAAAAAAAACATTGAAGGGCATCTAGTTTTGTTTATAATAATAATAATAATAATAATAATAATAATAATAATAATAATAATAATAATACAGTAATAATACAGTAATAATATAATAATAAAAATGAAAATAATATGATAATAATATTGGTAATAAAAATAATTTGATTCTTTGCAGCCAGATTGAACTAATGATAGATCTTTGTATTAGCTATCATTGTACAATACTTCTATTTATAATATTATTTAATAATTTTTGAATCAGAACGTTATACATACATTGTAGTCAGTAGAGAGATTTTCTCCTCGTGGAAGCTTTGTTACCTGGAATTGAAACATCAACGCCGGTTTTTATTTTAGATTATGTATTTTCTAGGTTTTCAATCAAATATTAATAACAATTATGGATATAATATTACCAGAATAACAATGAATATATTATTCAAGATAGGAATAATGGCTAACGTGAATTGAACACTACATAACATTGTGGAATTTAATCTCCAATTTACATAATAAGGCAGAAATTAATTAAACAATGCTATATATCAATGCAAGGCTCCCAAGTCTCCCGGATTGTCCTGGAGTCTCCAGGAATGTTGGTTCATTTCCCGGGCTCCGGGAATTATTTACATAGTACTTTTTTGTACTTGGTAGAATTAGACTACCTAGTGTCACTATCACGATCATTATTCACTTAGCTGCTTATACTGCCGACATTTTTGTTTATTTATCTTGGCTTTTTGATATAGGCCCTTTCACCGCCAACATTGTTTAATGTTACCGACAGTTAATTGGTTACTCTTCACACTTGCTCATTAGGACATGCCTATTATCAGAGATACAAATATATATTTGTATCTCCACCGAGATCCAGCCATTGTTTCTCACAGCATTGTTGTTTTTCAGTATTTTGCCTTTTAATCTATAGCTTGGTTCACGTCGAACTTTTATCTAGATATACATCCACTTAACTAGTTAAAAGTTCGACGTGAACCACTCAATTATAGCTAGTTAAAGGAATTAAGTCACTTAAGTTAAGTGACTTAACTTTACTAGAATAACGGTAAATTAACTTGCTTAACGGTAAAGTCGGCTCGGATTACAAGGACACGATTACGTAACGTAGGCATCTAAGCCAGCTTTGTTGTATCGTACCACCATTATCATCTTCTGGCTGGCAACAACGTACTTCAACAATGCTAACAACAGCATCGAAGTAGTCTCATTAGTCTGGTTTTCAGAAATTATTTGTAATATTTTGGGTAAACACACAGCAAACGTCCATTTTACGAATAGTCGATATTACCAATGACCTTTGCCCTTTGCATCATCGACCAAGTAATAACGTTAAAAAGTCCGATTGCGCACGTTTTTCAAAGTGATAATGTATATTTTTCTTAATAATAAAATCAGATTTGTTGTATTTATTTATTGACAATTCAATCTTTTCTATTTCTGCTATAATAGTCGCTATTAATTCAATTTCAACGAACTACCACCAACGCCAGTTGAATTGACGCTTTCCAATATTTTATTACTGCTCACTGTCATAAAGGAACACAATCGCATTTAAACTTTGTTTTGTTTCTTTATTTTCGAAGAAAACCCGGTCAACAGCCATGATCGAAAAACAACAACAACAACGTTGCGCTCTCGCATAAAAACTATTATAGCGCCCTTAACATTTCAACTATTGTTTTAATTAAATAATAATTTTTCTTCTATTCATACTACAGTTTGTCGACATTTCGCATTAATTTTAACATAACATAATTTTCACAATTTTACATCATCATGGTATATATCACCTGGCACGGCAATCCTTCAATTGCCGGAGCAAACGCATACTCTCTTTTCTTTTTCTTGAGTTCCTTCTTCCGCTGTTGAGGGAATTTGGAGAATTGAGGCAGCACGCAATCGTATTCCTGAAATCGCATCCTCTTTTCTGACGTCATCCAACGATCTATCGGAAATATGTACTGCTTGTTATTTTTGTTGTTGTGCACCTCTATCCATTCGATATACCACGCATCATAGATATACCCGGTGCGCCACAATTCAATATCAGTGATGTCTCCGAAATTGGAGAGACCGCTGACTGGAAATGTGTCAGTGCTACCACATTCGAAGTCGTCACGCCAAATACAATCAAGATTAATATTGTGTGATCGAGTGCCTTTTTTATTTACGAGAACAACGTATACATTCGCATTGGTCCCTGCTCCCTGGTGGTCACCAGTTTTGACGAAAATGGTGTAGTTTTTCTTGCCACGTCTACCAACGATAGCATTTTTCGAAGTTCGACATCCCATGCTGAAAGTCGAAACAAAGTAAAAAAAGAAATTGATCACATGACCTTTTCTTGCAAGTTGAGTAACCTTGTACAGTGTTTAAATTATTTGACATTTTATAATTTAGGCCTAAGTAAATGTTTTATTTCCAATGTTTGAACGTGTATTTATGTATGCTTCTCCTTGTTTGAGGTTATTTTGAATAAATTGAAATTGAAATTTAATTGAATATTGTGATTTGAGCACAATTCATTCTAAATTCATTTCAATTCCAATTTGTACACAGGTCTGCGACTATTCCGACGTCGTTGTGGACGTTGTATCATACAACTTGTTTTCCTTTTGTACAAAATACGTCAATTCAGCTTTTTGCTGCTAATGTATTTTTTATGAAGGAGTTTCTGAATAAAGATACCGATTATATATATTTATCTATTTGTTCATACTAAGATTCCATCTTGATTTAAAAACTGGGGGAAAAGGTGAAAAAAGGATAGTTACGCCCCCTTTCCCCCAGTTTTTAAATAGTAACAAGAAATATTTCCTATAAAAAAAACGCTGCAACATCTTTACCTTATTCAATTCTTCCATTTGGATTTTCATTATAATATTTCGGCATTTTGATTATTTCATTTTATTATTTATTTCTATATTTAAGATTATTTTTGTTCACTCTTGTTGACTGACCTGGGTGTGTGGTAAGTTAATTACGTTGATAACCTTCAGAGGCTTCATCATCAGCTGTTGTCGGTCCACTGCTGGACAAATGTCTTAGGATGTCGACGCCAAATCAATCTTTCTCTCTTGCACCATTTCACTCGTCCCCAATAAATATCGATCTCATCTCTCAATATTTTACGTAGTTTTCCCTTGCTCGTTTTGCTATCCATGGGGGTCTGTTACTTTTTTTTTGTTTTTGTTTTTAAGAGGGTTAATACTTAACTACAAGTTATTTAATTAAAAACAATGCTCTGGAGCCTAGCTTCAAGGCGTCTGAAGGTCCCTGGTTGCGTCAACTTTTTTATACCCACATATTCCTCTTTTTTAAATTTATGTATAGTATAACATTACCGGATGACGTTTTCACAGTTTATCTATATATTAAACATTTTAACTTACATTTAAAGTCATTTCTAGTTATTGGAGTCTTTCGAGTAGAAGGAGAGCTCTAAAGCTATTATTTTTAATTTAAAAATTAGAATGGAAAAATATTTCCAGAAAACAAAAATGATTGAGTACTTACATGTTTTATGCAACGAATATAAGGTAGGCCTAAGTTATCTCATCATCTGAACAGCGACCAATGTATTACTGGCAAACATATCATACAATCATATTTATTAAACATACAAGCTTCATAAACACCATATGATTACATTAACTAATTAATCTAAAATTGGCGATTTGTCAGGTTTCTAATAATGCAAGCATGATAAAATAAACAAGAAGCATTAACTTAAGTAGGCCTATTATCATGTTAGAGATCCAAAAGTCAAACTAGGCAAGTATTGACCGTCATTATTACCTTATCATCTTCATCATATTATCCATCACCAACATCATTATCATCATCATCATCTTCCCGGCCTCATTATTATTAGTTCCCATGCTGTAAAGAAATAGGAACACTTCCTTTTTGTATTTCCAATAATTATTTCATTTTAAAAATCAGAAAAAAATGGAGTCCGGTGCACAGGGACACTTTAAAGCACAAAGTAAACAAGACGAAAACACTGGTTGACTAAAAATGTTTGCGATGCAGTCTACAGTATAGACCAGCTACTTCAGTTGAAACTTAGGTTAATAGTTTTTGCATACATGTAGTATTGGTCATGTAATTGTGCCCTATTGTTTGAAAACATTAACGGATAAAAATTAAAGCATCACACGATAACTTTACTACCCTCCTTCACCAAACACTCGGAATAATGTAGCGTCAATGGTACAGTGCATTATTGAATGTCTATTTTGTTAAAATGCAGATATAAGCCTACAGTTAACTGACTTCTCTAAACGATAATATCAAAATGCTTTAGATTAGAGGACATTAAAAAAAGTCCTTAACATTTCCACCTGAATTAATAATAATAATAATAATTATTATTATTATTATCTATTTTTATTTTTATATTTATTATTTTTATTATTATTATTATTATTATTATTATTATTATTATTATTATTATTGGATTTATATAGCGTACATATCAAGAAAACTGCTCAAGGCTCTTTTTCCCTGGTCATTGGATACAGAATCAATCATACACAACGTGCAACCTCTCTGCTCCCTATAAATAAAATAAAAAGTTTTAAGAGTACCATTTCTAGGAATATATATGTGCTACTATATAATCTTAAAATGTGTTCATTGATTTAATGCCCGTCCTATGCACCATCACAAGCACCCGGCACAAGTGTAATGCCGTATTAAATATCAATTTTGGTGCAAATCTTTTTGGAAACATTTTTACCAATGGCTGCATATGAACGTCGGCCCTCGCAGAGGTTTGGTGATTACCATCATCATTATTTTAACAACGTCAGTACGAGATACCAACAATATTCAATTATCAAACAAATTAGCGATGTGAAGTGTTTAGTGTTCAGACAATAGTTGTTGAGAGTAAACTCTCCAGTTATACCTGATTATTATGAGGGGCCCCTGAAAATTGGCAATACTCAGCTTTTCTGATAAAATTAACTCAAGCTTAATAACTCGGTCGGGTACTGGATAAACATTCTCTTTCCCATCCTTCTCCTTCTTCCCTCCTTCTTTTTTTGCATTTCAGATCATACAAAGTTCTCCAGACATTATATATTTTTCGCCAAAAAGTGGGGGGGCCCGGGCCCCCCCGGCCCCCCGGTTCCGCCGCCCATGAGTACGAGATACCAACAATATTCAATTATCAAACAAATTAGCGATGTGAAGTGTTTAGTGTTCAGACAATAGTTGTTGAGAGTAAACTCTCCAGTTATACCTGATTATTATGAGGGGCCCCTGAAAATTGGCAATACTCAGCTTTTCTGATAAAATTAACTCAAGCTTAATAATTGGTAGAGCTGTAGGCCTACTGTACGGTACTCTAGGAGCCAAAGCTGGCGAATCTCCATCATCATCACCACCACCACCACTACTACTACTACTATCGTCATCATCGTCATTGTCATCACCATCATTACTATTATCATCATTACCACCACCATCAAACAACTTTTCAATAAATTATTTGTGATTTTCTATTTTTAGGCCTATATATATTGATGATGACTTTATTCCGCTAAGATTTTTTAAAGAGTCACTTTACAGAAACCAACCGACAAACCAATTCATAGGCCTACATTAGAAAGGAAAAATCCAAATATGATGTAACAGAATAAGCACATAACAAGAATTATCACATAATCGCCACGCTTTGAAGAAAAGCCCCGGGGCGTTCATTTCTTCTTCGAATAACACCCCACTCCCCACAATTGACTGTAAACAAATATAATGGAAGCAGCATCATTCTCAACATATTCTATTAATTTTCTACTCCAGTAGATATTTTTTGTAAATGGTTGTGATCAATACGTCTTTATGATCAAGCAATAACACATTTTGAAGGAAATTATGTGTTACAGTTTCACATTTACAGTTTACAGCCTCCCTCGAATAAACGCCTCCCTCTATTAAATAAAAATCCCCTCAGAAACCCTTCTCAACAATAAACACGGTATTTATAAACAACTGGCGATTTCAAGTGTGTGGTGTTTGTAGATACCATGTTATTAATTATCTACAATCAAGTTAGTTTGCGTTATTGTTATCAATAATAATAATAATAATAACAATAACAATAATAATAATAATAATAATAACAATAATAATAATAAGATTTGGCCGTAATTCTATATTTGAATGAATATGAATGAATGAATGGTTGGTTGGATGGATGGATGAATGAATGAATGAATAAATCGATCGATCTGTTATATTGATGGATAGATCCATACTAGATATATACAATGTTATCAAGATATTGACCACCATGGTAGGATCAAAATTCTTTCACGGCATCATACAGATAATTTTGGTTGTGTAATAGAATAACTACAATATTATTTTTTTTTATTTGGTGATTACAAAATTTCTAACTTTGTTATATCCTATTAATGGCGATAAAATTGTTTTCAATACTTGCCTTGAATTTAATTGTTTTAGATTTCTCACTTAGAAATTAGCAGGGGTTAAATTGATGGAAACAGACTTTGACTTTATATGGCTTTTATCTTCATTGTTAAAACTAATTTAAGTTTGAGAGAAATGTTTTTTTTTGTCATTGTTTCTTAAATGTTTTTTCTTTTTTCAACTGTCAATGTATATGTAACATTTTATATGAAATGTTGAAATAAAACGAAATGTTACCAACAGAAGTTTGAAAAGATATTTTAAAATATACAACTTAAATTTCAACAGCAACACATATATTTATATTATTATTGGTTACTTTATCCAATGATGCCAGGGGCGCATCTAGGGTTGCGTCAAGTAGTTAAAAATCAAATCAAAATATTTTGCGAATCATAGATCCCCCACTCCATCAGCCCCCCTCCCCCATTTCAAGACTCCTAAGAGACGCCACTGGATGATACTTAGTTTGATTTCATGTTCTAGGCTCGAAGAGTGACGAACGTTAGTTAAAAAAAGAAGAAAAAATATGTTTGAGTTTTCGAAAATTAAAGAAAAATGAACATCACACATCACTTAACCAATACTGAAAAAACTGGTTGTAAAATTATCAGCTGCATTATACAGTACCGTATAAATACGTCTCTGCTTATTTCTCCACATTATTACCCCATTCATTGGAACAATGCCTATTGAGAAAATAGTCCACAGTGTTCTGCACGAAATACAGTGCATCAGTGCATTTCGCACTCGAACTTTGTAGCTTCCCACTTCAACTTCTGGGTAAGAGGCAAGGTTAATGAAGTGTCTTGCCGAAGGGCAAAAATGTTAACTTGCACAGCGAGGGTTCGATTCTGATTCACAACCGTTGTACCAACCGTTACACAATGTACAATATCAACATTTAGTAAAAGAATTGTTTAAAAAACAAAAATAAAGTGCATTCCACAACCTATCTGAAAAATATAAATCAATTAGTATTATTATTGTTTACATACATTTTCGGCACAGGACCAAAATTTAAATAATGTAATAAAATACATGTGCAAGGTGCATAACATTAACAATCAAAGAACATCAAGCTGATATTATAGGCTGCAAAGAGTTGATTCTAACCCCCCTACACTCGCCATAACATATTGTAACACTCAGTATCCTTTCTTATGTGGAATTAAATGCTAATAGCATTTGGTACATCCTTCGGTTCCAAATACTTGTACTCCGACTCTCTAACATTGTTCCGCTTATTGATGGTTGCTGCGACAGCGACCGTCCTTTCTGAATCTGAAAAAAAAAATCAGTTGAAACTATAATGAGAATGACTTATGTAATTAATAAGATTAAGGATTTTAACTTATTATTTTGAAGATTATGATGGTATTGATTGTACTGTTAAAAATGACAATGTCATTCTTTGTATAGTTGCAGATGATGCTGTCATAAATTTTATTGTTGCAATGTTGCAGATGCTGTCATTGATTGTATTGTTTCAGATGATTCTGTCATTGATTAAATTTTTCGAGATGATACCGTCATTGATTGTATTGTTGCCAGTGATGGCGCCAGGACCAGGAATTATGGCGAATTTTTATTACTTATTTGATAGGCATCGAGTTACTGTCAGTGGCGTAACGAGGGGCCGGGGGCCCTGTGTATTTCCCGGTCCCGGTCACCAATTCCATCTTTGAATTTTAAATGTGCATTGTTATTCTAAATGTTTTTAACGATGAATAAATGATATAATATGGATCCAGAAAATTGAGGCCAGGGAAGGACTTTCACAGTTGGAGAGTCTACACCACCTCAGACCCACCATTGTCGGGGCTGAGGTAAGAAAATTTATGAATATGGCACCTTCAGATGGCCTAAAATGGCACTTCACAGACATGAAATTGTGAATATAATTTTCTTTTTATATCAAGTTAAAAAATATTTTGACAAATTTAGTGGGGCCCCGGGCCGGCAGCTCCAGGCCGGCAGCTCCCCACCCCCGCCACTGGATATAATATGATGTCCTAAAGTCGATTTCAGACACACATATATGTTGTTGCCCTTGTGGGGCTGAGATAAAAAAAAAATGTATTATTATGGCACGTCTAGATGGCCGGAAATGGCACTCACAGTCTTAAAATTGTGAATATAATTTTATTTTTATCTGCATTAAATTTTTTTTGACAAATTTTGGTAGGGTCCCGGGCCGAGAGGAAGGCCCCGTCGGGCAGAGAGGAGGGACCCGTCGGGCCGACGGGTCCCCTTCTCTTTAATCGTTATAATATGATATATGCCCTACAGTCGATTTCAGAGAGACATTGTGGTGTTAGTTATCAACAAAGTCCTTTTTGGTCAGGGTGCTAGATCGAGGAACCTATAGGTAGGGCCCCTCGGGGCCCATAGAATTCTGGGGCCCTGCGGACCGCCGCATGAGAGCGCATAGGCGTTACGCCACTGGTTACTATAATATGACTTCATGTAAGCTATGTTTTCTAATGTCCAAATCAGATAGGTTTAAGGCATGCTTTAATTAATTATCTTTCACATAAAAGTTCGGCATACGCATCTGATAAGATGCCTTAGAAACCGAAAAATAGTTAGAACATTTCAAGTATGTTCGGTAAACTTTAAAATTACGCGTGCTGAGTGACTTATTTGGTTACAGTAAATGTAGGTGTGATTCGGTCGTAATCCCTTCCCATACTATATTCGTTTGGCCATGGCATTGCTGTCTGCCGCTTGGCTTGTTGGCCATTTTTTAAGAATTTTTACTATGGAAATTAATTTAGGGACCGATCGTGTGCGACGGTCCCTTTGCCTTTGTCGTAATAAATCACATCATATCACATAATCGCCACGCTTTGAAGAAACGCCCCGGGGCGTTCATTTCTTCTTCGAATAACTGTAATATTGTGGGATTCCAGCATGAAATATTAGGAGCTGGTTGGTCAATGTCTTTTAATGAGTAGATAACACGGTTCCTTTTTGTACACTGCAAAGATTTTATTCAGCATTCACTACTCTATATATTTACAATTGACTAACTCCGGGTTTCTCAGATGTTTAAGAACCTTTAGAGTGGAGTCAGCTCTTAATCTATACTTCTACTGATCTTCTCTGATATTCTCTGTGTCAGTGATGTGGGGTGTTTGCCTATTATACTCAAGGTAATGGGGGTGTGTCTAAATTAAGTCACCCCATCATTTTTGAGTTTCTGATTGGATCATAGATAAATTCTTTCTCTATGATTTTATAGCTTGTTTACCAAAAAGCTGCTAATTAAGATATATCACAAACTTCATAACTTGGACTTAACTTTCAATCATAGATTCATAGTATGAGAAAGGTCAAGTCCAACTGACCTGGGTAAAGTTATAAATGACCAATTGTATGATAGATTATCTATATATTTAGGTAGACTATTCATTAAGTTAATACTATTGAACCTTAATACTACACTACATAACACCCCACTCCCCACAATTGACTGTAAACAAATATAATGGAAGCAGCATCATCTATTAATGTTCTACTCCAGTAGATATTTTTTGTACCTGGTTGGGATCAATACGTCTTTATGATCAAGCAGTAACGCATTTTGAAGGAAATTATGTGTTGCAGTTTTACATTTACAGTTTACAGCCCTCCCTCGAATAAACGCCCCCATCTATTAAATAAAAATCCCCTCAAAAACCCTTCTTAACAATAAACACGATACAGGTATTTATAAACAACTAGCGATTTCAAGTGTGTGGTATTTGTGGATACTACTACCAGCAGAAATCTTTACTTAGATTTTATAGATTCGAAATATATCTAATGTACGTGCTGTAGATTAGGTTTGTTTTAAATTTAGGAATATTAAACAGTCTCTAAGTATTCCTCATTAATATTCAGACTTATTTGGTATAATATTTCATGAATAAATAATAAAGACATCATGTTATTAATTATCTAAAATTAAGTTAGTTTGCGTTATTGTTATCAATAATAATAATAATAATAATAATAATAATAATAATAATAATAATAATAATAATAATAAGACGTAATTCTATATTTGAATGAATATGAATGAATGGTTGGTTGGATGGATGAATGAATGAATGAATAAATCGATCGATCTGATATATTGATGGATAGATACATACCTAGATATATACAATGTTATAAAGATATTGACCACCATGGTGCGATCAAAATTCCTTCACGGTATCATACAAATAATTTTGGTTGTGTGATAGAGTAACTACAATATTAATTTTTTTTATTTGGTGATTACAAAATTTCTAACTTCGTTAAGTCCTATTATTGGCGATAACAATTTTTTTCAACACTTAGAAATTAGCAGCGGTTAAATTGATGGATACAAACTTTGACTTTATTTGGCTTTTATCTTCATTGTTACTAATTTAGGTTTGAGAGAAATGTCTTTTTTGCCATTGTTTCTTAAATGTTTGCCTTTTTTTTTCAACTGTCAATGTATATGTAACATTTTATATGAAATGTTGAAATAAAACGAAATGTTACCAACAGAAGTTTGAAAAGATATTTTAAAATACTACAACTTAATTTTCAACAGCAACATATATATTTATATTATTATTGGGGCTCATCTAGGGTTGCGTCAAGTAGTTAAAAATCAAATCAAAATGTTTTTCGAATCATAGATCTCCCACTCCATCAGCCCCCTTCCCCATTTCAAGACTCCTAAGAGACGCTACTGGATGATGCTTAGTTTGATTTCATGTTCTAGGCTCGTAGAGGGACGAAAGTTAGTTAAAAAAAGAAGAAAAAATATGTTTGAGTTTTCGAAAATTAAAGAAAAATGAACATCACACATCACTTAACCAATACTGGTTGTAAAATTATCAGCTACATTATACAGTAATATAAATACGTCTCTGCTTATTTCTCCACATTATTACCCCAGTCAATGGAACAATGCCTATTGAGAAAATAGTCCATAGTGTTCTGCACGAAATACATCAGTGCATTTCGCACTCGAACTTTCTAGCTACCCACTTCAACTTCTGGGTAAGAGGCAAGGTTAATGAAGTGTCTTGCCCAAAAGGGCAAAAATGTTAACTTGCACAGCGAGGGTTCGATTCTGATTCACAACCGTTGTACCAACCGTTACCACAATGTACAATATCAACATTTAGTAAAAGAATAGTTTAAAAAACAAAAATAAAATGCATTCCACAACCTATCTGAAAAATATAAATCAATTAGTATTATTATTGTTTACATACATTTTCGGCACAGGACCAAAATTTAAATAATGTAATAAAATACATGTGCAAGGTGCATAACATTAACAATCAAAGAACATCAAGCTGATATTATAGGCTGCAAAGAGTTGATTCTAACCCCCTACACTCGCCATAACATATTTTAACACTCAGTATCCTTTCTTATGTGGAATTAAATGCTAATAGCATTTGGTACATCCTTCGGTTCCAAATACTTGTACTCCGACTCTCTAACATTGTTCCGCTTATTGATGGTTGCTGCGACAGCGGCCAAATCCTTTATGAATCTGAAAAAAAAATCAGTTGAAACTATAATGATGTAATTGATAAGATTAAGGGTTTTAGCTTATTATTTTGTAGATTATGATGGTATTGATTGTACTGTTAAAAATGACAATGTCATTCTTTGTATAGTTGCAGATGATGCTGTCATAAATTGTATTGTTGCAATGCAGCAGATGATGTCATTAATTGTATTGTTTCAGATGATTCTGTCATTGATTAAATTTTTCAAGATGATACCGTCATTGATTGTATTGTTGCCAGTGATGGCGCCATGACCTGCCCGACGGAGGGGCTAAAGGCCAGGACGGGGGGTGGCGCTAATGAAGCGAATCAAGTTTCACTTGGCTGGGGCCAGGGGGCCGCCTAGGGCTCCCGGTGGGGGAAGCCAAGGATATTTGACGAATTATGGCGAATTTTTATTACTTATTTGATAGGCATCGAGTTACTATCAGTGGCGTAACGATGGGGCCGGGGGCCCTGTGTATTTCTGAAACTGGGGCCCTTTTTTGGGTCCCGGTCACCAATTCCATCTTTGGATTTTAAATGTGCATTGTTATTATAAATGTTTTTAACGATGAATAAATGATCTAATATGGATCCAGAAAATTGAGGCCAGGAAAGGACTTTCACAGTTGGAGAGTCTACACCCCCTCAGACCCACCATGGTTGGAGCTGAGTACTAGGTAAGAAAATTTATAAATATGGCACCTTTAGATGGCCGAAAATGGCACTTCACAGACATGAAATTGTGAATATAATTTTCTTTTTATATCAAGTTAAAAAATATTTTGACAAATTTAGTGGGGCCCCGGGCCGGCAGCTCCAGGCCGGCAACTCCCCACCACCCCCACCACTCTTTTTTCCGCCACTGGATATAATATGATGTCCTAAAGTCGATTTCAGACACACATATATGTTGTTGCCCTTGTGGGGATGAGATAAAAAAAAATGTATTATTATTGCACGTCTAGATGGCCGGAAATGGCACTCACAGACTTAAAATTGTGAACATAATTTTATTTTTATCTGTATTTAAATTTTTTTTTTGACAAATTTTGGTGGGGTCCCGGGCCGAGAGGAGGGCCCTGTCGGGCTGACGGGTCCCCTTCTTTTTAATCGTTATAATATGATATATGCCCTACAGTCGATTTCAGAGACACCTTATGGTGTTAGTTATCAACAAAGTCCTTTTGGTCAGGGTGCTAGATCGAGGAACCTATAGGTAGGGCCCCTCGGGGCCCCTAGAATTCGGGGGCCCTACGGACCGCCACATGAGAGCGCATAGGCGTTACGCCACTAGTTACTATAATATGACTTCATGTAAGCTATGTTTTCTAATGTCCAAATCAGATAGGTTTAAGGCATGCTTTAATTAATTATCTTAAGGTTCGGCATACGCATTTGATAAGATGCCCTTAGCAATAGAAAAATAGTTAAAACGTTTCAAGTATGTACAGTAAACTTTAAAGTTACGCACGCTGAGTAGCTAGATTTATTTGGTTACAGTAAATGTAGGTGTGATTCGGTCGTAATCCCTTTTTATACTATATACGTTTGGCCATGGCATTGCTGCCTGCGTTGGGTGCTGACCCTTTCGGGGTCAGTGGCGCTACGGCACCCTGCCGCTTGGCTTGTTGGCCACTTTTTAAGAATTTTTACTATGGAAATTAATTTAGGGACCGATCGTGTGCGACGGTCCCTTTGCCTTTTGTCGTAATAAACCACGACCGAATCACACTATATCAGATCATGTGACTTTATTGTGTACAGTGTATTGAGGGTGGTGGTCAAGAGTGGGCGGGTCCATATAGTTAATTCTTAGCCCTGTAGACACAAACATTGTTGTTATAATTAAATTAAAGCATTACTTTCCTCAGTACATTCATTTATCCTTATATAATACTTTAATCTTACCCTATATCAGTTATTTTAACACATTATGGGCTGCAACAACCCCTATTGACAATATTTTAAAACTACAAAATCGAGCTCTCAGGATTTGTGCAGGGACAACTCGTATTTCCCATAGTAAACCTTTATTTTACAAATTTAATGTTCTAAATGTGTTTGATTTGCATGAATTACAAAACTATATTTTTATGTATCGCTTTAGAAATGAAACATTACCCCCCCCCCATATTTATAATCTATTTCCAAAACAACAGTTTGACATACATGATCATAATACTAGATTTGCTAAAAGTAACGCTTTATTTGAAAAATATACACCCTCCTCTAGAAAAAAAATCCATGTTTCACACTAGTCCAAAATTATGGAATTCCTTAAAAACTTCCTTAATCCTTACCTAATCTCAAATCTTTCAAATACAATCTTAAAAAGTCTCTGAACTCGGGGTGTGGCGGGTAAGTCGCTTGGTCTCTTTGTCAGTCATTCTTATTATACGGTACTTAACGGACTGCTATCTTATGTATGCGTTTGTTTGTGCGTGTGTATATGTATATATAATAAATATATGTATATGTGTATATAGTATATAAATCATCGCAGGTTCGAGTCCCGCCAGAAGCATTTTATTACACTATTTCTTTATTCATTTATTTACAGGACTACATTCGTTGCGAGCTATGCTACACGATGTATTATGTCCTTTATTCTAACACTGTATTTACCTTTCTTTGATGATTTACGTATATAATTTAACAGTGTTAACGGCTACCTTGATTTATATTTCAGTGTATGCTATTATTTGTTTCTAGCCGTACTTATTGTGTAATAGAGTGTATCTGGTGGTATTTGAATTTGTTTAACCATGAAGCCTCCGTGGTCTAATGGTTATGACGCTCGCCTTGACAGCGAGAGGACGCAGGTTCGAGTCCCACCAGAGGCATTTTATTACACAATTTCTTTATTCATTTATTTACAGGACTACATTCGTTGCGAGCTATGCTACACGATGTATTATTATGTCCTTTATTCGAACACTGTATTTACCTTTCTTTAATGATTTATGTATATAATTTAACAGTGTTAACGGCTACCTTGATTTATATTTCAGTATATATATATATATATATAGATATGTGTGTGTATATGTATTATATATATATTGTTTTATATTTTTGGATTTCTATATATTTTTAACTGGTGGCCACAGCTTAAAGTTTTATTCTAAACATATTTACTTACTTCCACACACTTATCCTGTAATGTATTATTATTCTTAGTTGATTTTACTATTAAGCTTTTGTTATGTATGTTCATATGTTCATGTGTGTGGAGAAATAAATTAAAAAAATAAACAAAGGTCGAGGTCGCTTCCCCTATCACGATGTATTCTAAGCATCATGAGGCTATCCAAGCGAGCATTTGTCATAACAGAAAGCAAATTATTTTTTATTAGTCTCATTGAACTATTATTATTATTATTATTATTATTATTATTATTATTATTATTATTATTATTATTATTATTAGTATTATTATTACTACGATGAAAAGTTAACACAAATAGTTAAATGAAAAGAATATAGTGGCTAAACGAATATTACATGTAAATATTTTTTTTATTTGTTTATCCCTCGACAAAATTTACTCGTCTATGCTTCCCCGAGCGGGGGCTATATCCCCCAGCCCCCTCTGGCGCCACCACTGATTTGTGCAGATGATGATGTCATTGATTGGATTGTTGCAGATGATGATGTCATTGGTTGTATTGTTGCAGATGGTAATGTCATTGATTGTGTGGTTACTAATGATGTTGCCGTTGATTGTGATGTTGCAGATGATGATGTCATTGATTTATTGTTGCAGATAATGCTGTCATTAATTGTATTGTTGCAAATGATGATGTTATCCATTGTTGTTGCAGATGATGTTATTGATTTTATTGTTGCAGATTGATTGTGGTATTTTCAGATGTCAATGATGATGTTGACATGGATGGTAATGACGATGAAGTGAATTACAGTTACTCAATCGTTTTTGCGAGTACGATAACAAGTGCAACATTTTCCGAAGTGTGTCGGTTTTAACGTGCAAGTGGCCCATGTTGTATGCTTATGTGGACCCAATTTCTTTAGAAATGATGATGTTATCCATTGTTGTTGCAGATGATGTTATTGATTTTATTGTTGCAGATTGATTGTGGTATTTTCAGATGTCAATGATGATGTTGACATGGATGGTAATGACGATGAAGTGAATTACAGTTACTCAATCCTTTTTGCGAGTACGATAACAAGTGCAACATTTTCCGAAGTGTGTGGGTTTTAACGTGCAAGTGGCCCATGTTGTATGCTTATGTGGACCCAATTTCTTTACCATTCTGTTCAGAATGATTTGGCAATAACCTGTATTTCACAGGTAAAGCAACTTGATAATAATAATAATAATAATAATAATAAAATATTTATAATGCGCTAATTTCAAATAAATGATCAAAAGCGCAGAGAGTACAACCTAGAGAAAGATTTAAAAAATTGAAAATCCGAAAAGGGGATGGTCTAAATAGAGTTAAAGAGATGGGATTTCAGTTTTAACTTAAATACAACAATAGAGGGAGACCGTTTGATAGAGGGTGGCAATTCGCATGTTTTTGTTTTAAATTAAAATGATAACTTTTAACTAGTAACACAAATATCTCCATTATTAGTATACTCAGTTTTCACTGACGTCATTGCGCTATGGTTGACAAGGATAATCATAACGTAATGTTAGGCCTACTGCTGCTGAAGTAGATAATGTCGATATAATACCGATATCTAGTGTACCCGAAAATACAATAGAATACATAAAACTTTTCATATATGATAATAATGGCGACAGGAAACTTACTGGTCAATAGCTTTTTCACCCACAGGATCAAATTGGTAGTTGACCTCAAAATGACCCAATTCATTGGTTCCTTTCGTACTTAAAAGACTCGTAATTTTCATTATGCTCAGTGTTGTCTCCTTATTTGGCAAGGACTTCAGTACGTACTCCTCTGTTTTCAATTCCTGGAGTTCCTATTTATTCCAATTAACATATCGTAAAATTAACAATTATACACTAACACGAATCTACAAAATATTGAACTAGGACTTGTTACAACAAACCAACACGTGGCGACCAGTACAGTGGCAAGTAGAAGAGTAATTCAGTATTTAAGTGGAATGACGCTGATAAGAAAAAAGGCGTGTGTTCATCAAGTAAACAAACAAATAAATAAATGAATAAGTTGACCAAAAAATGTAAATCAGTTTAAACAAAATATGACGAAAATATAAGCTATCTCAACATTTTAGCCTACATGTAAAATCCAGTTTCGACTGTACTCTTTATCCTAACTTTCTGTGTAAAACCAATAATCAATAAATAGTAATTTCTACTTCGTCTACAAAAAAGGTTAAGGATTTTTTTTTTTTTTTTTTTTAAATAAAATAATAGCTAAAGACGTACCAACCATGATATCCAACATAATATATATGCCTTAGATTGCTAAAACATAACAAAATAGTTAACTTCCTCTACACCATGTGTAAAAAAAAAATATAACTTTTGAGGTAAAACCACTGGTTGATTGTCATGACGTTTAGATGAGATTGCTCTGGTCGTCATCAGGAGAATGACACACTGTTATATATGTGAAAATAAATTTAGGCCTACTTGTATAGGTAATTACCTTATTAGTAGGCGGTTTTCCGTTGATGAATGCCGGGTAATTTGGTGGAAAACCATAGTTGTCATACTGCCCGAAGTTTACCGCGGCGTGAGACACACTGCTAGTAAATATCATAGATGTGACAGTTTGTATGATTTCTTCTGCAGTCTTGAAGGAGCCATCCCCTGGTATGCCTTGGATGCCGCACCCTCCCTTGTCAACTGGTGACGATAGTGTCTTATGCCATTCTTGTAATTCAAAATCTTCCGATATTTTAATTGGTATATCTGAAAATTAATTAAAAAAGTAATTTCATTTACTTTTTGTATCTAAGAATAATCACAAATGTAAATGATTGTGAAGAGATGGTTTATTACATCTTGACAAGAGGCAGGGCAGTTGCCAAGCCAATGATAATTAAGCCTGGTTTCCATACAATCGCTACACGCTACCGCAGACTCCTTTGGCGACGCCGATTGGTCAGTTGAATCAGGAAGCGTTCCTGATTGCGTCGGGGAGAGTTACGCATTCCAAGAATTGCAGTGAAAACGCAGTGGCGATTGTGTAGCGATTCTATGAAAACCAGAATCATCGATCAAACAAGTGAACAATGAGATATGTTTTGCCATTTACTAAAAATACACTTTAGAAAGGCATGATTACAATATGGTTAAACCAAAAATATTAAATATTAAAACTAAAAGGTATGACAAATATCATATTGCATTAGTTGAGTATTGCATTGAAAAATTTACAAGTTTCAAACTATAAGACATAAGCAAAATATGAGATGATAAAAATGTATAAAATATCATGTATATGATATATATGAATAGAGAAAATGAATAGGAGTTAAAATCCCTTAGTATATTAAAATAGGCATTAAGTATATAGATTAAATTTAGTAGAAATGTTCTCTGTAGCCTTTGAAGGACCAGTCTGGACGCGGTGCCCTCGGCAAACTATGGGAAGTGTACGCAGGCAAAAATCAGCCTGCGATGCTCGCGGGCTAGATTTTCTTTGACTTTTTTGGCATGGTGTACTGTACAGACCCGACACCCCAGGGGACGCGGGCACCTCGGGCTAACTGCCCGCAAAGAGTGCAGCCACCTTACATGCATGTTGATGACGGGGGGGGGGGGAAGAAGGTGTTGTGGGGACGTGATTAAGTAATTAGATAGCTTGCAACTTAAGGTGATATGAGGCAAATAGTTGTAGTTACAACTACAAACGTAACACTTTTCGTAATTAACAAACATTTTTATGGTTGATATATACTTACTGTAGTGGCCATTCACAACAGTGGTGACATATTTAGAAATAGCGTGCCAAAGCAACAGCGCGTCGTCTCTGAAGTAATACTTAGGTAGTACATCCGGGTCATGAAGACCACGAGACTCAAGTTCCTTCGGAAATGTTCCGTCAACGTCGAGTCGCCATGTTTTAAAGCGTCGTCTTACAATCTCAAACATGCCAAGCCGACCGATGGTCATAGCCTTGTCCACCCAACCGTCTGGTTCGATGAGAGCTACCAATGCAATTCTGGAATATGCAAAACATAACAAACAAAACATGCAAAAATTGATAATACTAATTATAAAAATAATACCAATAATAATAATATTGATGACAACAATGATATAGAAGATGAAGACGTTAATGATAATGACGGCGATAATAATGAGAATGATTACCGTGATGTTAACGATGATGATGACAATAACGATAATTTCTCTCTTGAAGGATAATGATGGTGACGACAAATAAGAATACAATGGTGACAATAACGACGATAAATACGAAGATGATGAGGGCGACAATGATAATGATGTAAAATATTTGCAAAAAAAAAAAAGAATTTTATTTAACACACAGGCTGCATAATTATATCGCTTAATGCATACAATGATATCATATTATTTTTTTTCCAGTAAAAACGCCAATAGAGCATAGACATACTTACTTGTTAATTGCAATAAGATACAAAAAGTGTGGCGCTAGAAGACGAAATATGGGATGAGAAGGAGACAGGCAACAGTGCGTCGCCGCTGCTATGCTTTCCACAAGTAAATGTGTCATTCCCAGATGTGAAGCTGATTGGTGATAGGACGCGTCTGCGTTGTTGTACCACATCTTTGCAATCATCCATGTGTACTCATTGTCTGTCGGAAGAAATACCTATTGGGCAACATACGTAAAAAAGAAGATAACATACAATAGTTATATTCTATTAATTTATAGTTAAGAGCAGATGGGAGCGGTTATTAAGTTGGAATCTATCCATTTTATTCACGTTTGTATCTCCATAGGTCCAAGAGCATTAGATTCTAACCTGGAAATTTCTCATAACAAGCTGAATTTTTCAGGATATGTCCAGAATTATGAGGAGAATAATATAACAAAAGTCCCCGAAAATCCCACTGGAGCTCTCCGCACAATCCAAGATGGCGTTCAAAATGGCCGCTTTTGAGAAATGTTATCATGCCTCTGCAACCAGACAAGTTGGAAGCAAAAATAAAGTGTCTAAACATATGTTTTAAAGTACAAGGAATACAATAGAACGATTATCTATAGGGTTCAAGTCTTCTAAGTATCCTAAAAATGTTATCCAAAATGGCTGCCATTAAAAAAATTTATCATAGGCTTACGTTTGCAACCAGATAGGTTGGAAGCACAAAAATAAACATATGTTTTAAGGTACAAGGAATACAGAAAAACCATTATCTGGCAGGTCTGAATCTTTTAGCATCCCAAAACGAAAATGGCGTCCAAAATGGCCGCGTCCAAACCTTACAAACACTACAAAAACAGTGTTATGCAAAAGAGTCGCGATTTTGAATTTCTGATATAAATTTGAAACCAACCAGTTTCTGAAGTAAAACTAAAAAATCTCTAAACATGTGTTGCAAAACAGGAATTGACCCTCCGGTTAGTTCATAATTTCAGCTTGAAAAATCTGCCGTCAACTATTTCTGCAGCAAAGCAACATTCGAAATGCACAATCTCACACTTCAGTATTGGTTGGATCAATAGAAACAGACACCATCTTGATCCTGACACTTTTATAAACATGGTGTCATGTGGGTGCAAACAAGGTGGTGGTAGCAACAACCTTGCACTCCTTTTCACCCAAATGTGCAATAAATATTGTGGTCAAACTTGCAACAAGTAAAATATATTTAGAAGCATCATTTTTGTGTTCCCAAATTGTCTTATGGAAATAGATGTAAATAATCGTTGAGAGAGCATAACTCATGCCAAGAATGTTGGATATTTACACAACAGCAGATGAAATTAGTGGTGGTGGTAAGCGAGGTGGTACGGTGGCCATCTAGCTGGATCATTGCAGGGTTTCTTGCTCCAGTGGGATTTTCTGCGACATTTAGTACCGTATGTTATCTATAATTTTTGACCTATCATAAAAAATTTAGCTTATGAGAAATTTAAGGGTCTGCCTATATTTAAGACCTGCCCTTGAGAGCGGATGGCCGCATAGTACTTTTGTGTCATTTGGAAAGCCGCTAAATTTAGCTTTGTATATTTCACCAGGAATATATTTAGTCATATGAAATTAGAGGACATGGATGTTTGTTAAATGTATTTGGTAAATATCAGTGGCAACGCTATGGCGTGGCTTCCACCCAGAAAATGTACTTGCCCCACCAGAAAAGAAGAAAAAGCACAATTCGTCGGGGAGAAAAAAATTATAGGCCTATGTATTTTCTACATAATATTATTAGACTATCTATGTATAAAATCGATTAATTAAGCCTCTGCAACCCTTAAACTCTGGAACGCCGTTCAAGCAACAATTCGATGATGAATCAAGTGATTCGTCGATGAATCAAGTGATTCGTCGATGAATCAAGTGATTCGTCGATGAATCAAGCGTTTCGTCGATGAATCAAGTGATTCGTCGATGAATCAAGTGATTCGTCGATGATGAATCAAGTTAGCCTGGTTGTAAAACTGCTGAAATGAACTTTAGCGGGAAAAAAGTAAAGGAAAATTAATTTTTGGTTTTTCTGAATCGGCATACCCTATAGTGTCTCAGAAAAAAATCCCCATGCCTAGGGCTTGGGCAATTTTTTTTACAGCACTTTGAAATTTTGGCCTAAAATACCCTATTTTAAACTATTTAAGATGGGGGTAGGGGAAATAAATTTATGTTTTTGGTCACTTTTACATATACTGTGGATATGAAATGTAACAACAACTTATATAGTTACTCATTACTCTCATTAAAAAATTTGATCGGAATGATGACGTCATCATGACAAATTCCAATATGGCGTCCATTATGGTGGGAAAAACTATGTTTTTAATGTAAAAATAATTTTATTGTTATCCAAGAAATACAATCTCGATAAAATAATATACATACAGTACAGCAATAAAAAAAAACATATAGGCCCTATATATAATTAATGAACTAATATAAAGTTAACCCAACCGAAAAACGGAATAGTGAAATTTTCCTTTAAAATACCAATTTTTGAATCGGGGTATGGGAGACCCATAAGGGTTTTTAGTCACTTTTAAGGGTTTTTAGTCACTTTTAGGGTTTTTTTTCTATAAATGTGAAAACTGACAGACCTTAATTAAATACTTACCCATTATAGTCGTTCAGTGGCGGCCCCAAGGGAGTCTGATAGGGTGGGTCCAAACACAGGGCCGACTAGACCCTCGGTCAGAGTCCCGGAATAAACGTCCCTGGGCTTATGGGATAGTTTTTTTTTTAGCTTAGTATGGCCCAAAATGTTGCTTTTAAGCCAAACTATTAGGGATTGGCAATCAAAATAATGTTATATGGATAAGCAAATCATTATTTGTGGTGTGGCGACCTTGTCGTGGCATCGGACCAAGGGAGTCTAGGCCTGTCTGACGGGAATTCCCCAAGCAAATTTGGAATGATGACGTCAACACACCAAATTCCAAGACTTACGGCAATCAAAATTAAAGGAAATGTTTACCTATTTAAATTGAATCTTTCTACACTACATTTTTCTTCTATCATTATTATTATACTATTATGTTGTTACTTTATAATATTATTAATATAGTATATAATTATTCTTATGCGTTTAAAAAAATGTATAGTTTATAATTCACATTAATATTAGCGTTAGTACTGTTTTTCTTACTATACTTATGTCATTATTATTATTATCATCATCATCTTCCTCATTGTCATCTCCATCCTCATTATAATCCCCATTATAAGGAGGATGTTGTTGGTGATGAGGAGGAGAAAAAAGATGATGAGGATGATGGTGAGGATGAAGATGATGGTGATTATGATTGATAATAATGGTTGTTGATAATAATGATTGTGATGATGATGAGAATAGAAAATGATTGATGAGAATGATGATGATGATGAATGATGAGAATCATCCCTCTCATCCTCCCCCTCGTCCTCATCTTCATTCTCGTCCTCCTCCTCATGATGGTGACTGATGATGAGGAGGATAATGATGAAAATGATGATGATGATGATGATGAAGACAGTAATCAGGATGATGATGAGGATGACGATAATAATGAGGATGATGGTAATGATGATTATGGTGATGAAGATAAGAATGATGATGGATAGGATGAGGATACTGCAGTTGATGAGGAGAAGAAAGACGATGAGGTAGATGATGATTAATAATGGATGATGATGAGGGAGAAAATGATGCTGATAAGGATGGTGAGGATAATGATGATAATAAGGAGGAGGATTAGGATGATGAGTTTGATGATGATGAAGATAAGGATGATGATGAAGATAAGGATGATGATGATTATGGTTGTTGATGAGGATGATCGTGATAATGATGAGGATGATTGATGAGAATGATGTTGATAAGGTTAATGATGACGAATGATGAGAAACATCCCCTCTGCCCCACATCCTCATCTCCATTCTTGTCCTCCTCCTCTTTATCATCATCCTCATGATGAGGATGATGATTGATAATGATGGTTAATAAGGATGATGATGATGATGTGGTTGATGATGATGAGGACAAGGATGATGGATGATGATGATAGATGATGATTGTAATGAGGATAATGATGACGATGATAATGACAATGATGATGATAATGAGGACTATGATGATGAATGAGTAATGATGATAAGGAGGATAAGGATGAGGATAAGGATGATGATGGATGAGGATGATTAGTAGGATGAAGGTAATGGTGATGATGATAACGTTGATTTGTGAGGATGGTAATGAGGGTGACGTGACGATGATGGATGAGGATCAATGCCATAGCCAGGATTTTCAAACGGTGTGGGACAGTATCAGGGTGGACCCACTTCACGTGTAGATTTAAACAATGTGGATAAATATAAAATATCTAGAGCCATTTTCTTATATTTTACCCATTTTAACTAAATATGAGAAATCTGGATCCATTTATGCATAAAATTACATAATTACCACATTTTTAAAATGTAGACCTATTTGTTTGTGGACCCATTAGAAAAATTGTGTGGGACTGTCCCAATAGCTAGCTACGCCATTGATGATGACGAGGATGATGATGGATGAGGTTGAATATGATGATGAGGATGATGATGAAGAAAATGATTAAAGATGAGGAGGATGAAGATTATGAGGATGATGATAACGACGATAGATGATTGATGATGACGTGATGAAGATGATGACGATGGAGGAGTATGATGTGATGATGATGATGATGGTGATGATTACAACAATCGATGACAGTAAGGATGATTATGATGATTGACAACAATGAGAATGACGATGACGAATAGGATGAGGATGATGATGACGGATGGTGATAATACTGTACTGATATAAATAGTGGTAATAAAATTTTTTTTTATTAATAATATTATTATATAACAATACTAACAATGTAATTCATTTCAATAATAAAATATAATTTTGAAATAACAAGTATACAATAATTATAGTAATATATAATATAATAATATTAATAATGATTTCAACAATAATAAAAAAACATAAAATTTCTATTAAAGTAATAATATTTATATATATTCTATATGTGTACATTGCTTTGATGAGATTGTATTTTATACAATAGTAATAATAATAATAATAATAATACTAATAATCTTGCAAAAATAACCATTTTCCCCGCCAAGGTAAACGCCATCTTGGAAATTGGCACTATGATCATTTCAATCAAATTTGATAAAGACAGTAAAGAGTAACTAGTTAGCTAAGTTTATTGTCAATGTTCACATTTATAGCAAAACTAGAAGTGACTAAAATAATGCCATAGTTT